TTCAATCACGCTAATGCATCCGTCTCAATGTACGCCTTCAAACTGCGCTTATATATATATATGGTGGAGAACAGAGATTGTATCTGCTTTTTTATGCTTAGCTTGCTTTTAGCTGACATAATAACAATTTTACATTACCTGTGAATTAAATGACTAAAGCTAGTGTGTGTTCTCTTGTGACAAACACACACCTGTCACTGCAGTCTGTTTCACCTTTCAGTGCTTTTGGTTTCTAGTTTGTTTGTTTCAGTTCACTTTCACACGTCTCATCAACCTGTTTTCCAGCTGCAGCATCAGATATAGCGACCACAGTGATCACAGTGATGCATTTGGCAGCTAAATAAGCAGATTCTTCCCTCAGGAGTGGAAGAAGATCACCGGTTTTTGAATGGTATCAGCCTGTTAAAAAAAGTGGTTATTACAGTTATAGATGTGGGTCAGTAGGGGTCTACTAGGTTACATCATCTATTCACAGCAGTGGATTACTAAAAGAAGGAATACAAAAAGACAACTCAGACCTGTAGTGATTGTAGTAACTACGACAGGAGCAATTTCAATTAAACTTTTTTCTTAAAACCTAGTTATTTTAGCCGGAATACAACTTTTTACTCCACCTACTTAAGTCGTTTTGTTGCCTAAACCTTAAGAAATGATATCGGTGTCTTCAAAACTTTAAGTATCATTCGGTTTTACATCACTCTCACTTTTACAACGAACATATTAGGTGCCGTTTCTCGCATCTGACGTATTATAACATCAGCGAAAACACCTTTTTAAGAGCATGATAACATTTCAATTGGGTGCAGAATCGTAAACGAACAGTGTGAATGTTGGACTTAATTAATCAGGTGACCTTAAAGGTGGGGTAGGTAAGTTTGAGAAACCGGCTCGAGATCGCTAGAATTTGAAAATACACAACCGGAGAAAATCTGCCACTTCCTTACAGAGCCCCTCCTCCAACACACACGAACGCGCACATGACCAATGAGGGCACGAGATAAGTTTGTGCACAGATGGAAGGCTGACAGGCAGGTAGGCCATCCAGTTATTTTAGCCGGGCCGGCTCAGATGATTGGTCGTGCTTTTTACAGCACCACAGCTTCCACAGATGACATTTATTAATGGATTTTTTGTCAAAGCACTTCAGATATTCATTGCTATCGGGATGTTAAGAGCATTCCATGGAATATAACAACAAGTGTATCTCGAGCCGGTTCCTCAAACTTACCTACCCTACCTTTAAGCATGACTATACACCAGGGGTCGGCAACCTTGTTGATATGAAGTGCCATTCAAAAAAAATATTTTATCGTGCTGACGCTCGTGAACTGTCAACAGGAGGGCGGGGGGAACTTCTCTGCGGGGAAGCAATGTGTGGACCTGTCAGCACAACTTACATTAGGGATGCTCCGATCGCCGATCCGATCGAGTGGGCGGGGCCTATGGGGATCTTCCATTTAAACTATACACACATGCTAATGTTTGTCAAAAATTGCTTTATGACACTTTGTATAGGATCATTATTGTCGTGCAGCTTGGACAAAATATGGTTGAATTTATATTTGTTGCCACTAACGGGAGGAACTACTCCAAAAAAAAACTTCTCCGAACATATAATTGCTCTATAAAGTTATTTTGTACACATACATGAACTTTTAAAATGAGTTTCTATCCAGCTGATGAATGCTAGTCTCTTTTAGCTTTCATAATTATTCACCAAGCGCAATATCTATCTCTTTAGCTGCTTAATATTCCACTTTCTTCCGCAGCTAGTTGCCCATTTAGTCTGTTTGTCTTTTTGCTGAGCAGGTATAGAGTACACTGGTGAGTTTGTGGAGCTTTAATTTGTCACGAACAATCAAACATCATGAGGAGGTTTATTTCCTCTGCAGCTCTGGTAGTTTGAACAATCCAAAAACAACCCTTGAATGTCTATTAATATAAAGTTAATGTAAAAGCAATAAAATAAATCCCAGCCTGGCTCATTAGGCGGTGGAGAGTTCATTCTGCCGCTTTCACTCATTACCGAGGATTCGTGCAGAGGCTATTCATCCAAAATCATGAACTTCCACTCCTTCAAGCATAGTCGATGTACTTCATGATCTGTGAAATGAAAGATCTATTTATACTTTAAACAGAAAGGAGCACTCAGCAGATTTTTAGCAGGTCTCCTAAAAGTCCTAATTTAATATACTATATTTCAGTTTAAACCCTGCACTGAGCATTTAAGAAGAAAAATAAACGTGATTAACTTAGAATCTATATGATCCCTGCAGAGTTCCCCACTGAGTCTTGGGGCTTTACAATGTTAGTCCCTTCTGCTGAGCTTTAATTCAAGCATAATGAGGATCCAGAAAAAGCACATGAGTTATAACTGCTGGGCAAATTCACACCTAAATTATTAAATGTTCCTAGACTGCATGTAGGTGTTTAAGATGAGACACATGGTGAAGCAGCCTTAGTTAGAGGGGACATGTTATGTTCATTTTCAGGTTCATATCAGTATGTAGTGTCTCTACTTTAAAGAGTTCTCTCCTGCTGATGTTCAGGTGTATATCAGTATGTAGTGTCTCTACTTTAAAGAGTCCTCTCCTGCTGATGTTCAGGTGTATATCAGTATGTAGTGTCTCTACTTTAAAGAGTTCTCTCCTGCTGATGTTCAGGTGTATATCAGTATGTAGTGTCTCTACTTTAAAGAGTCCTCTCCTGCTGATGTTCAGGTGTATATCAGTATGTAGTGTCTCTACTTTAAAGAGTCCTCTCCTGCTGATGTTCAGGTGTATATCAGTATGTAGTGTCTCTACTTTAAAGAGTCCCTCTCCTGCTGATGTTCAGGTGTATATCAGTATGTAGTGTCTCTACTTAAAGAGTCCTCTCCTGCTGATGTTCAGGTATATATCAGTATGTAGTGTCTCTACTTTAAAGAGTCCTCTCCTGCTGATGTTCAGGTGTATATCAGTATGTAGTGTCTCTACTTTAAAGAGTCCTCTCCTGCTGATGTTCAGGTGTATATCAGTATGTAGTGTCTCTACTTTAAAGAGTCCTCTCCTGCTGATGTTCAGGTGTATATCAGTATGTAGTGTCTCTACTTTAAAGAGTCCTCTCCTGCTGATGTTCAGGTGTATATCAGTATGTAGTGTCTCCCCTTTAAAGAGTCCTCTCCTGCTGATGTTCAGGTGTATATCAGTATGTAGTGTCTCTACTTTAAAGAGTCCTCTCCTGCTGATGTTCAGGTGTATATCAGTATGTAGTGTCTCTACTTTAAAGAGTCCTCTCCTGCTGATGTTCAGGTGTATATCAGTATGTAGTGTCTCTACTGTGACATGTCTCCATGCTTTAATGTACTGCCTGTGCTGCAGCACCTTGGTTAGCTGGCCGGCTCTGTTGTGATTGGTCAACCGCTTAGAGATGTCCCGCCCGTACAATGTGTCCGATGAAGGCCTTCCAGGCAGCGGGGGAATGTGTGGGAGAGTAACTGGCGGGAATTTGGAGATTTTAGCGTTTTCAGACCATGCACTAAAACCTTTATAACACACTACAGGAAAGGGAAAACTCCCAAAAAACATAATAAAAATGTCCTGAAGTGTGCTGTTTGTTTGAGCTCTCCATTTGGCTCCTGTAATACTGACCTAGTTTAGTGTTGACTCTTAGTTGGTCTCAGTTGGCGGGCTCCTCTGAATATTGGGTCACAACTTTGTCCCACTGGCCTATTGTCCCGGGAAGGCAATTCATACATTCTAGATAATTATCTGCCGTGGCTCCTCTCGTGCATGGAAGTAATCCCTTTGGGAGAGAAGAGAAATAAATAAAGACATGGATCAGATTGATGCTCTTCTTACTTTTAGACATTTAGGCAACCTTCTAACTTGGGCAGTGCGATCAGAGAAGAGGAGGAGATGGAGGAGGATGAGTTAAATGAGGCCAGTGACACCCAGCAGGGGGTGTCCTGGCACATTGACATATACAGTTCATGCCAAGAGAGGGACATCTCTTTGAAAACAAAAATACTCTCACTGGAAAAAATGCTGCTCCAAAAACACGTTAAACAATAATGAAAACAAGACGTTTTCACTTGAAATAAGTACAAAAATCTGCCAATAGATCAATTGAACATTTGCTTGGTAAGATTTCTTGAAATAAGAAGGGACATTTAGATAAATCAGATCTTGTAATTAGCTGGGAGAACTAGTTTTGAACTATGTTTGACCAGAATCAGGAGATGTTGTGTTACAATATACTGTAAGCCGCAAATGCTCAAAGGTTTTCTGTTTTCTGATGTCAGTTGGTGATTTTTCAATAAATATGTGAAAGAAAATAAGTTTAATCTGAGATACTTATTTATTTGACTTAACAAGATGATGCATTGTCTAAAAACAAGACCCGATATCTCACTGCAGTGTTGCTTCTGAAGTTATTACGTCTTATATCAGGTGTTAAGACATATTCTGAGTAGATATTAGACAAATATACTTGGCAAGATTTCGAGTTTTTGTAGTACTTAACAAGAGCCAGTGCTACTCCGGTGGCTGAGCAGCATGTGTGTGTGCTCCTGCGTTAGTGTGTGTGCTCCTGCGTTAGTGTGTGTGTTCCTGCTTCAGAGTGTTAGCAGTGCAGTCGTGCAGTGCTGCCGCCTGCATCCATAATTAAGCCCTAGACACAACCATCAACAGGAATCTAATTGGCCGGTAGGAGTAAAAAGGGGGGGGGGGGGGGGTGGGGAGTGCTGCAAACTTTCTAGAGCAAAAGATATAGAGGGGGAGAGAAGAGAGAAAGCCATTTACATGCTAATGGCGTCCTCAGCCCTTCTCCAATGAGCCCTTGGCGGGCAAGCCGGTCGCCATGTTTACACAATAAACAAACAGCAATGAGATTTAAAGTCTTGTTGTGCGTGCCTACAGTACTAGCAACAGTCGGTTCTTGCGTAACTGTTTTGTCGTGTCTGCAGCCGACTGCCTTTCGGCCTCTTTCTCATCTCTGTTTTCTTGTTTTTTGTCTCCTAG